TATTGTGCAATTGTCAAACAGCCAAATATTCAATTTGTTCGTTTGATTTTCTCTTTTTTGACTACTGTATTATATGTACTCCGTCGTAGCTGCTGAATGGGGGGCCCAAAGCCTCCTCAAGCTGCATTTCTGCACCTCTCTCCGGCCTCCCATTCACCACTTGTATTTGTGGTGAAAAATAAAGTTTGTAGCGTATCACATCGTATCATACAATCCCCGCAGGATTCTGACGTTGCGCTGAAGTGGAACACGTTGTGTGTCCATGAGGCTCTCCATGTGATCCTGGATTAGCGCTTCATGATTCCCGAACCGCCGCTGTAGGAGATCGATGACGTCTGCATAGCACTCTGCTGTGGGCTGAAGTCCATCGATGACTGCCGCTCCATCCCCTGTTAGTGCCGCCTTTAAGTAGTTAAACTTGTCGCATAGTCAGGGTTCCGGTGGATGGCGGTATCAAGCTGGTTCCGGAAAGGCAGCCAGTTTTTCAGCTGTCCGTTGAACTTGATCAGTTCAAGCTTTGGAAGTCTGACCTTTCTTGATGTTGATGCTGCCAGTCTTTCTTCGTTTTCGTTCAACTGACTGTCACTGGCGGAATGCCTCGATCCTGTGGAACGCCTTAACTGACTCTTCAGCTCTGTTGAGTATATGACGATCTTGTCTGCGTACTCAACGACTTGCGCGAATTCCGCATCTCCGTCTTGTTCCGAAACAAGCGGTTTGATGGCGGAGTCGACGTTGTTGAGTTGGCCCTGAGCTAGTTTCAGACGCTTGATGAGCATCTCTAGCTCAGCTACGTTCGGCCCTGGGGCCCTTAGCGACCCTTCCGCGTCGTTCATCAGTCGAGCTACCTGTGACCGGATGGCCTTGTGCTTTTTTTTTGAGGACTTCCATTGTACGTGAGGAGTCACTCACGTTCCAGCTTCGAAGTATCCGCAGCGATGTCACTCCCGGGTTTCGGCACCAAATTTTTGTTGAAGTCGTTGCGGGTCATCACAGTAATCCTTCCATCTCCACACAACGAGCAACACGTTACTATTTACACCGCTGAGAAAAATACATCGACAATTGAAAGCTTGCAAGGCCAAAACATCCAATCGTACACGTTCATCGTTGTCGTTCTTCTTTTTCTTTCCCCGTTTTTCCCGTACCCACGTGCCGGGGCATCTTAGCAGACTTCTTTTCTTTTCTGCTTCTACTCCCTGTTCGTCTAACGCCAACAGAGGTTTATCCGACGTTGGTTGCAGCAATATTCATTGAATAGATTTGCCAAACCTCGGCCGGTTAAACATCCACCTCCATACTGTTATTCAATGCAGGAGCTCCTTAATCATCAAACAGAAAGGTTTCCATATTATGTAAATGTAACTATTCGCCGACAAAAAAGGGAGCAATAGTAACATTTTTTGGCATTCATTAGCACTTTGGTCAAGCTGTTCTGGTAAAACATATTCCTTTAGAATATCTGGGTCGCTCGTCTTAACAAAATGTTTATAAAGTACATTTTCTTGAAGATTAGGCAATAAGGCAGGCGAGCTGGTTAAGGGTAAACATTTCTAAAACCCAAGACGGAGGCTGCAAAGAGGGGACGAACACAAGACACCTCGTACCCTCCTTGTAGCCTCCGTCTTGGGTTTTAGAAATGCTTACATTTTCTTACATATCTTTTTATCAAACTGGAATTTACCCTTTGTTTACGAATCTTTGTTGATATGTTTTATGACTTTATGTGGAAAGTGATGTTCTTTACAGCTTGAGAAATTCCTATAAAAATAAGTGCTAGGCATCATCAAGTTTCCTGCGTAAGCACCGTATCACGTATAATAGCTGCAATGTCCCGTCTAAAAGTATATAGGCTATTTTTATCTATATTTTGGAAAACCGCAGGTTGGAATTTTATTAGCATTCAAGATATATTAAGCTTAATACACAAAAGTGGGAAGATAGTCACTCAGTTCAGAACTTATAATTCCAGTGTTCACTCGATCTGTAAGCAAATTAGTCATAAACAAATGTAAATTAGTTTTGCACTGTAAGGTAATTCTTGTGGGAAGAACAATTATAACGACGCATTCATACATGCTAACTAGGTTCTCCATTCCCTTTCGAAAGACCTTCCAGAAGACATATCAATGTTAAAGTCGCTCCCACAAATTAATTTGTATTGATTTGTATGTGTAAACTCGAAGAAAGACTTAAACAATGGAAAGAAGGAGGATATGCTACCATCCGGTGGGTGATCGAAGGCAGCGAAATATTTCAGTTGCTAAGTAAGCACGACAATTCTACATTTTTTGTGAGAAGAGAATAGTGGCTTAGTAGTTCAGAATCGATATCCATTTTACTCAAAAATGCGAATCCTCCACCGCGCTTTGAAATGCGGTTTAAAACGTTTGTATCATGTTAGAGTAAGCGAAAAACATGCCAGTCATCGTTATACCAGGTCTCAGTAAACAATATAATATCAAAAAGAACATGGTACTGATTAAACAGAAATGCAATGTCCGCTTTTTTGTTTACTGCGGATTGCGTTTTTAAATTAAAAAAACAAATTGTATGTGAACTATACTATTTCTCGATGAAAGCTTTCACCTCCTACGAAAGTAGAGACTGAAAGGACGTACTCTAAACATCGGGATTCCTTTTTGTGGAATGGGATACACCGAACAATTAATAGATACGTTGATGCATGTCGTCTCTGCCAAATAATCAATACCCCCACGACCAGCCTATTCGATCCCCTATCGCCTATTTGGCCACCCGATTGCCCTATTCACGCAATTGGTATAGAGTTCATGGGACCTTTCCTTACATCCACAACCAAATAGCTTTAGACAATTGCAGCTGTTGACTACTTGATCCGTTAAGCACACAGAAGCTGTGCCGGTCGCCACTGCACGAGAAGTGACCGACTTCTCTCTTCACTGTATGGTTTTGCCCCCTGGTGCTCCACAGATCGCTATAAGCGACTGCGGCAGCCCGTTTGTCTATAAGGTTCTTGACGAGGTTTTTCGGCTGGCTAGCACCCCTTGCAGGGTAACAAGGGCCTACCATCCTCAACCTAATGGAATAACGCAGCGGCTAAATCACACTTTTACTACCATGCTTTCTATGATGGGACACAAAGTCACAGCGATTGGAACTCCATATTCTCATTCATCACTTACGTGGACAACGCCGCACGCCAGGCTACTACACGATTTTCGCAAAATTTTTCTTTTCCGCCAGTGACTCACTGAAAACCTTGGACCCCCCACAATTGTGTTATTTATACTCACCCCTTCCCAAAGCGCTTCTGATATCAGCCTCTGAGCTGCGGAGGCCCGTCAAATCGCCCGCTACGATACCCTTAGATCACAACAGCACCAAATCTTTCGTGCAGTGGCTCACCCCAATGTCTCGTAGATGATTGGTGACGAGATTTTGATTTTAACCACACTCCGGTCAAGTAGGAAGCAGGTCAAGCAAGCTTATGTACACATTTGTTTGACCCGTAGCGAATTATCGGCCGCAATTCTTCAACAAACTGCGAAGTCGTCCCAGTACCACCACGCCGTGACCGTTCACTCGAGAGCGACTGACGTCGTGTATATAACCTATATGAGGCGCTACTATCATCCCAACCACAATAACTAGCAATCCATTGTCTGCCGGTTGGCCAGCACTCTTTCCCCCGAGGGTGCAGCGAGCAAATACATCACTAAAGGAATACAGGCAACTCCTCACTAACACAATGGGCTCCTTAGGATGGAGGCTTAGGCGATTAAGCTATTCATCACTTAAAGGTAGCAGCGCAAAGGTTGTCTCACAGACTCGCACACAAAAAAAAAAAAATGTGCATGTGGTTTGAGTGTGTGAGCCAATTCTTGCGCTGTCGCCTATAAGTCAACAATAGGCTCGACACAGACTGGATCTGGGCCTTTCGAATGACTGGATGTGTCGCAGCATCGTGTTTTTTTTCTTTCTGTTAGGCTGGTAACCAAATTCATCTCTCGGGTTAGCGTTTTCGATATCGAGCGCGTGTTTGTTGTGCGCGCTGTTCAGTTGTGACGTCCTGTTTCTTCTTTTAATGTAAAAGAAACCTTAAAATTACTTTTTATTAAATTACCAGGAACATACACGCCGCATTCGCTTAATGTCTCATCCGGTTCTACCAACTTTGAACTGGGCGCGACGTCTGTTAGTAGCACAAACAAGTTGTGACCTACCCGCTAAGCGGGTGTAGTAGTAGCATACTGAAGCGGGTTTTCGAAATTACATGATGCAGCTTTGAAGCTGCCAATTACATTAATTATTGTAAGGGTATGGATGAGCTTGATTTACCGTAATCACGCTTTACATTTGTGCTTTTGTGGGCAGTTAAACACTTAGGTATTTGGTAATGTGACAGTCGCCAGAGCACCTGACGGTCAGAAAAAGGACCGATTCATCACCTGGTTACACTCGTGTCGTGTGCTTTACGTCGGAGAGGCTGAAGCAGCCAAGACACGATGGGAAGCTTCGATGATTGCATTGCGCTGTCTAATGCCTAATGGAAATGAGCGGAGTGTACTGTATTCCCTCTAACAAAGTATTTGATGCGAGGAAGAACAATAGGGTCGGAAAGAGAAAATGTCAGAAGAATGGCCATGCTGGAATTTGGACCCGGCAACGACTGCCACACCCTCAATACGATAATCCTTGTGGCACTGCACAAATTACATTAAACCATCTCACAATATAGCTGCTCTTATATTGTTTAAACATTGGCAGCGACCGAAAAGACAAGCTACTTTAGAATTATTTGCTTTCCAGAATTCAAAATGTTTGTGTAAACGTCTGAGAAGACTGTCTATAAGTAGAATAATGGTGAACTTTTCGAAAAGTTCCAAGATTCGCTAAACCGGTCCAATCTGTTCGACGTCGACCTTAGGTTCGAAGAACACCCGGGACAGACCATGTTGTGACTGCAGCGCCTGGTTTCACTTGCAACGTTTTGCCCTGCAGTGCAAACGCCCGCTTACCTGAATACAGTGTGCGGCATCCAAAGTCTTGACAACTCTTGCAGGAGCCGTGACACTGCCGCGGCTCACCGGAGTTCCTGCGTTTCCAACTCCTTATTAGTCGCCGGAAAGGTGAACATGTCAATGACAGTATTCACGTTCCATTTGGAGCAGGACATTGTTTTTTTAGTTGTGTTGAACGACGTTTTACGTTATGAATTTCAACGCGTTTCACTTGTAGCGCGGGGTTTAAATCGGACACAATTTATTACCGTTTTTGAGAAAAAATTGGAACTGTGAAAACAGAAGGTCTGCAGCGTTGGCGTTTGAACGTCCCGAGCAAAAAGCAGCTAGAGGACAAGGCCCTGCAAACGTCATCACAAGTGGGTATACGGGCCTCGCAATGTCTTAAAACGAGCCCGACGGTAGGACGCGGCTTCACCAAGACATCTGCCGCTTCTCTGCGACTCTCGTGGAGCGTGTTTGCCGCTTGGGATGGGGTCCACTAAGGAAGACGTAATGCGCAGACCTTGTCTTCTAAGTGGTCAACATTACTGCAGCATGTAACGAAACGCTTGTAAGGCACTTAGACTGCCTGCAAAAATTGATTTCTGAGCGTACCGCGCTGAAATTTACTACAGAGGTGTAAGCAGGTAATAAAAACTTACAGTGAAAAAAAAAATAGAAAATGAACTGACCTTGCTCTGAAGAAAAAAATGAACAAAATAGAAACCTTTTCTGGGCAATCTACGCCGCCACCTCGAAGACGATTCACGACTAGGGAGGAATTGTAGCACAGTGGTGAGTTAGCCTACTTAGTGTTGCATTTTAAAAGGGTATAAACAGCGCAAAAAGACACGGACAGGGAAGATGTACACACACAGAGCACTGAGGGCGAACATGGTGAACAATGAAAAGATTTCAAGGCAAAAGAAATGAATTGTAGCACTGGGGTAAGTTGAGCTAGTTGGTGCTGCATTTTAAAAGGATAATACAGCGCAAAAAGACACGGACAGGAAAACTGTACTGACACAGAGCGCTAACGGCGAACATGGTGAAGAATTGTTGAACATTTGAACAACAAACGCATTCCTCAAAGCAGTGAAGCCAAAGGAGGATTGCCGACGACAGATGGCGTTCACTGCGGCGGTTCTGTTTGGGGCTTTGGAGTGGAGCGGACTTATTTTCCGAAGGCGTGCTAAGCTAAGTGCATTTAGTGTTTTCCTTGTGAATTTGGTTCTAGCGTGCATGGAGTAGTTTGCATAGATTTAGGAAGTGCTATGATAGGAAGTTAGGCTACTTTAGGCTGCCGGGAGGCCACTAGCAAGTAAGGCTAGAGTAGGGCTTTGGTTTGATTTATGGCGGAATTTTCTTTTCTTCTTGCGTGCATGAAGTAGTCCGTACAAATTTTAAAAACCGCTAAGTTAGTTTAAGGCGCTGGGAGTCCACTAGCAACAAACGCTGGCGTAGGGCTTTGACCTTGTTTTACTTTCGGGCAATTCTTTTGTTGCGTTTTGTATGCTTAACTTGGTTGGAGGTAGATAGGTGCTGTGGTTCGACGTTGGAAGAGCTACAAAGGGTGTGAGGACCTAGTGTCGTGAAGTAAGTGCATGCGGTGGGTGCATCTAGATGAGACAGATTTTAGGACCTTAGCGAAGGCGGGGGAGGGTCGCTTGGTTTGCCGAATCTGCAAGAGGGTAGGGTAAGGATTTAAGCTGAAAGAATGGGAGTGCGCAGCTTGGGTTGAGGAGGTAAAGCGGGAGCCTAAAGTAGAGTGAGAAAAGCAGGTGGTCCTGGTGACTTTGGTTCAGATGCTAATTAAGACGGAGGAACTCAAGGTAGAGTTTCAGGAGCTCGTCAGTGAATGGGGAGTAAAGTTAGAGCTCTTGGTACGCGAGCTCAGTGAGGAGCGGGAGAAGCGGGTGGAGCTTGAGAGGCTGGTGGAGGAGGTCAAGAAGAAGGAAATATGAAATGCTGGGTTAGAGCAGCGTAAAGGGAAGTGCGAGGACAAGGTGGAGAGCATGGGAAGCGAGTTTAATGAGGAGCGTGAGAAGCGGGCTGACCTTGAGATTCAGGTGGAGGAGCTCAGGAAGGGGGAAACGTTAAAGGCTTAGATGGGGCAGCGTAAGAGGGAGTGAGAGGCAGGAATGCAGCAGTGGGAAGAGGGGCGACAGCGAACGTAGCGGGTATGGGCAGTTTCAAGGAAAGAAAGAGTTAGTAAACAAGTGGAATTCAGCGGTACGGGAGAGGCTCCTCGACCGTACAGTGCCGTAGTGGCGCAGGTTTTCAGCTGGACAGCAAAGGAGACGGTGGTAAACCGGGAGCCACAAAGCAAGTGAGGTAGCACAGATAGTTTGAGGGAGTCAGCCGCAAGAAAGAGAGCGAGGGAAAGAGGGTGAAGTCAGGCAGTTCGATGCTACGAGGATACGGGTGGTAGGAGACTCGAACATAGCAAGGGTTAAGGAGGATCTGCTCACCAGTCTGAAAGAGGACGGGAGGGTAAACGGAGTCGCCCAGTCAGGAAAGTGCCCCATGACGCTATGACCAAAGCTAAGGAAGAGCTCTGGGGTCACATGGAAAGAGAGAATCTAGTAGTAGCACATGCGGGACTCAATGACGTGTTGAAAAGAGGGAGCCAGCACTTCGGCAGACACAGAGAGATTTGGGTACGTAAGCTGAAGGAGGTCTTTAAAAGGTTGCATATGTAAATATGCACTATCCCAGAGGTCAGGGGACAGTCTTCTTAGACAAAACAAAAACGGGTAATGGAAGCTAACCGGGTCATTAGGGGGATGAGCCGACGACTTGAATACGGCGTAATAATAATAAACAGGGTGGTGAATAAGTCTCGCTGAGACCCTTTTGCATGAGGCATCTACTTCAGTGGAGCCTCAAGTAGCACGGCAGCGGTAGGATTGGATCTTACGCCGTAATTGTTTGGGGGTCCCGGAACCTTGAGTGAGCCGGTGTAGATGAAGTTGTACTAGGACAAAAGCCAGAGTAAGCTAGATAGAATGTGTAAAAAGTAAAAGCAAGGAACTTGGGTGCAAAGATAGATCACATATAGCATACTTAAGAACAACTAAGACAAGAGAATTTGGTGGTATATGGGTTGTTGAAACGCATCTTAGAGATGCGGAACAACCCTCTGGCAATCGAGATTATCATGGGGAGCAATGCTATAGAGCGGAGGACAGCAGAAGAAAAGGCGGGATTGGAGCATTAAAAAGAAATGCAAATTGGCATAGAGCCAGAGAAGAATGCACGGATATTTTATGGCTAAAAGGGGCTTTAGCAGGTGATTTTTGTACTTATGGAAATGAGTAGATGCTAAAGAGGAGAACAGTAAAAATGATATAATTTACGTCAAAATATATTATTGAACTAGGACAGTGATTCTCAAATAAAGGTCCGCGAAGCCCTGCCTCACCAATCAAGGCGGCAATAAAACTTTTTTTTTTAGATTGAGAGGAAACGTTCGAATTTTCGGTTAAATTTTTTTTGTGTAAGTCAGTGAGAGAAGTCTACTTCACACTAGACCTTAGTTATATCCATTCATTAAATTACTATCATAATTAACCTACACGTTACCCTTCCTTTCACCACGAACGGAGGGTTTTCCATCACCTCCGCCGATCCACAAGGAGTCCGCGAAACATCAGTGGTTGAGAACCACTGAACTTGGAGAACATAACGAAGTATTTATCCCAAGGGACATAAGTGTTCATCTAGAGGACCTGGATAGGTACACATATTTAAGAGATTCATATTCAGACAAACACCCCCTAGGCGTTTGTGTAAAGAAAACTCTTTTTGCATTTTTTAGCAGGAATCATGGTACTTGGAGATGTACGAAAGACATGGCTTATATTTATGCAATACAGGTAAGAAGTGCAACGGGCTTTTAACATGGCGAACGGGTAATTCACATTCTACGGTAGATTATGTACTCTCTTCAAATATAATGTACAGTAGGCTATAGACAATAAAAATAGATGAATAGGGTTCAAAAAGCCTAAGTAGTGGTCACAAACGAATTAAGCTGATCATTACTAGGGAAGGAAACGCAGGGACGGAGCAAGACAAATTATCAGATCAATCATTTTACACAAAAAAGCAGTTGGAAATAGTTCTTAAGCAAATAGAAAATATAATCTCTGGAGTCACTCTAACGGATTTGAGTTACATAACGCTAACTAAGCAATTTGAACAAGAGCTGTCTAAAATATGCAATAAAAGGAGGAGAAAACGAAGACGCAAACTGAAGAGCTGGTCGGATGATGGCGTAAAGAGGGCAATAGAGAAACGCCAACAAGCTTTTAGAGAGCACAGATGTTCCGAATGTAATGGGGAACCAGAAAGTGAGGCAAACGAAAACTGGGATAGAGTCATGAAAATAGACGGGAGGCATCCTGCTTGAATAATGAAAAAGACTCAGAGGGCTGGAGTCGCCGTGGCTGTCTAAAGTAAATAAAAAAAGGTAGAAAGGTAATCAGGAAGCTTTGAATTCACTTGAACTTATTAATTCATAAAACAAATTCAGAGGATAAACATATTCTCATGCCTTAGGGTAATCAATTTGAAGGAGATGAGGCAATGTAATATATAGAAACAGTAATGACAGAATTCATGCAGCAAGGATACATAGGAGGGGCCTCAGCAGTGGAGGATAGTTCAAGAACTAATGTTGAAGCTATCGGACAGAAAGAAATGGAAAGAGCAGAACGGAGAATTCTAACGGTCCATCAACAGGTGCAGATTGTATACCAATGAAGTTGATAAAGCAATCAGGACCCAAATCTAAGGAAGCGTTAAAAAAGCAGTAAGTAGCATTATCATAAAGGGAACTGTCCCGAAACAATAAAGGCTAAGGGGAATGAGTTTAATATACCAGGGAAAGGGGGACAAAGCTGATGTAAGTACCTATCGTCCCATAACAGTAACATCAGCAGTCATTAAACCAGCGTATCAAGGTAGCAGAAAATGAAGATAGACCGTTCTGTTTAGCTTTTTTAGATATAAAAGGGGCTTATGAGAATGTCATTGAAAACAATTTGTCGAACATAATGGGGAGATTAGATGTGGACGACGGAATATTGAAAATTTTAAGTGGTATTTACCAAGACCACAAGGTGTTAATAATATGGGAAGGAAAAAGAACAAAGACAATAGACAGAAAACGAGGTCTTAGACAGGGATGCCCTTTGTCGCCATTGTTGTTCATGTGCTATCTCCAAGAATTAGAGAAGTTTAAAACAACACTCTTGGTTTTAACCTTTTTTACGAAAGAAAGGACAAAATATCAAACAGTCATTATGCTGTGTGCTGATGATATAGTGGTAATGGCCTATAGCAACATAGAGCTTCATTCGGCAGTGAATATATGTGGCGCAGAGGTCCACAGGTTAGGCTTGGAATACAGTAGTGACAAATCAGCGGTCATGGTGTTCAATGATGACGGAATCGCAGAGCCAAAAATAAAAGGGTTAGACGTCGAACATCTCGACAAGTAGAACTTTCTACGAGTATAAACTAACGAGAGCACAGAGAACCTCAATGAACATGCAAAATATGTAACTGTTCAGAGCAAGAGAAATGCAGCTGTAATGAAAAATAGAGAAATGTGGAGCTATAATAGGTATGACGCAGTGAGGGATATCTGGAAAAGAGTTATGGCTTCAAGCATAACTTGTTCAAATGCAGCTTTGTGCTTAAAACTGGACGTCCAGACAAGGCTAAAAATAAAGCAACGTGGAGTAGGTAGATTGTCTCGAGAGCACATGGTAAAACACCGAACCAAGGTGAACAGGGCGATACGGGTTGGTCCTCTTTCGAGGGCAAAGAACCTAGGAGTAACATAGTATTTAAGGATAGGCTGAAAGAAACAGATGCAGAACGACAGCACAAAGAGTTCTTAGCTATTTACAGATGAGAACCGTCTAGACAAAATGTAGGAATTGTACTATAGAACTTAAATTGCATATTGGATAGGGTCTCGCATCGCAAGTTACTGCATAAATTGAAGCAAATGTTGGGCAATGATCGACTACTGAGGAAGATAGACTCATACTTTACGAATCGTAAACAGTTTGTGTGTGTAGGCAATGCTGAACCAATAATGTTACCTATTCTTTCTGGGTTGCCCCAGGCCTCGGTACTCGGACCGTTGCTCTTTTTGTTTTTTATCAATGACTGCGAGTTGATAAGCCCTCGATTCTGTGCCGTTTTTTTTTTGCTGATGATTGTGTACTGTTTTAAAATATACCGTGTGTATCTAACCAAAAATGCTTAGAGGTGAGTATTCAAATGATTTCGTTGTGGTGTCAAAAATGGCTAATGGATCTGAATGTCAAAAAAATGGGTGCAGATGTCAGTTACACTGAAGAACGTGCCTATCTTCCTTTCTTATTCTATTCATTAAAATGTCTTAGAAGTGTTTATGAATACAAGTATCTGGGTGTTAATATCGCACCCAACGTAAGCTGGGCTAGTCATATTGAGCAGATTGTCACAAAAGCGTAAGGTAAATTGTGGCCGCTACGTAGGAAACTGTGTCACTGTACTCCTGAGACAATGCTGACGGCCTATAAATCGCTGATTCGTCCTTTGCTGCAATATGCTGACGTTGTATGGGACCCGCACTCGCAACCGCTCATTGACCAATTGGAAGGCCTTAAAAACTCGCGTAGGTTTATTTACAAGTCATACGGCAAAGATTCAGACGTGTCACCGTTGTATACCGCCTCCGGCGTGTCTATATTATCATGTCGTAGGAAAGTAAAGCGTTTGAAATTTTTGCATAATATAATGCGTAATAAAGCTGCTTTAAATTCTGATGATTATTTGCAGAATAACGCGAGCCGTGATACAAGGCAGAAGCACGAGAATTCGCACCTTGAGTTCCGATGTAGAAAATATGTTTTTAAATCCTCCTGTTTTCCTCGTTCTCTTTGTGAGTGGAACGAGTTGCCACCAAGTGGGACGGCGATTGCTTCTACCGCTTTATTTGCGAGAGCAGTTTATGCAGTTTTTTCTGCGACCAATGACTATGCTACTTGTTAATTGTTGTTTGTTCATTTAACGCATTGATGCTTTTTGATGTTGTCTATCATGCCTTGGCCCTCAAAAGTTGGGCGGCATTATTCTCAAATGAATAAATAAAAAAATAAAAATAAAATATCGGCAGTAGGAGGGAGGGGGGGGGTGAAAAAATAAAGGTTAAGAAGAGAGTACTAAAGAAATTGAAAGGGAAATATGGGAAGCAGGCATGCAGACTAAATCCGTCTTTGAAATTTACAGATAATTTCAGAAGCACATTACTAAGAAACCTATACTATAATATTAAGGTCTGCTAGTTGGATATGCATATTAAAATAAATAGCGGGAACGTCAATTATACAGTGACGGAACAAGCCCTTGTTCCGTCGGTGTGTACTTGACCTTCGTGCCATTTATCTGTAATAAGAAACCCATCTTCGACAATTGTAGGAGGAGCTCCTTGTTGTTCGAGGTAAGGACGGGAGTGTGACGGAATAAGGCACATAGAGCTAGATATCGAGGAGTAGATTCGGCGTGTGGAGCTTGTGAAGAGGAGTTGACGGCTGAGTACTTGACAATTTACTGTAAGAGGCTTCTACCTTCAGTAGCTGAAGAAGCGACTAATTAAAAAAAAAAAAAAAGCACTGGCATTTAGCGATTGTGATGGGAAAATAGACACGGGAAGGCAGAAACAGCCAAGAAGAAATTATATGACTGGTGGCGTAGGTCGAAGGAAGGAGGAATGTTTTTTTATTCCCGTCCGGGCGACCCTTAGTGCGGAAGGGGCGTGCACCCGGCTGCATAGAGTCGCCCCCGTCGTAAAGATCATAGCTTTTAAGGACAAAACTCTGGATATATAACTCTATGTGAATTAAATGTTGGGAGAAAGAAAACAAAGCACTGGCTAGGTGAGTAAAGCCGCCGTCCGATTCAAAGGGATCAGCTTCATCCATTCATCCATTCATCCATCGATCCATCCATCCATCCGAGAGCCTGGCGCAGGCCTATTCAGATTATGATAATGGCTGATCCCGCAAAAGAACCCCTATCGGCCGTGCTCCGAGCGCTTCCTCGAAGAGGCGTACGCCATCCGTCTGCAGCACTTCCCCCTACGCGTGCATCGTGTGCGATGTGGATGCGTAGACTCCCAGGGCCCGTTTGCTCGAAGCTGGTTAACTAACCGCGGTTAACCGGATTTCCCTACGAGGGGGAATTTGGCTCACGTGACCGGCAGAGTAAGGACGGCGGGGAAACATGGCGGTGTCCCGGTGAGTGAGCGCCGCTCTCTTTGGAACTAATACGTCGTAGTAGCTGCAGTTAGCGGGCGCGTTAGTCACCAATGAATGGTGCAGGAGGTTTTCGCGTTGCCTAACCTCACTTAAAACGCAAAACATGAGCAATGACCTCGCCGCATTTTTTAGATATACAGGGTGTCACAAAGGAAAATTTACACTGTCTTTTTTACCGCAAAAATAAACTAGGCATCGCCGAACGCTCATTTTCCGCCCAAAGATAGAGCTAGAGGTCACAACCAGATGCCAAAGTTTCAGCCCGATCCGATAACTTAATCAAAAGTTAGACGTGATTTTCTGAAAATTTCAATGGGGAAAATGGCGGCCGACGGAGTTTTCAAACACATGGGGCTCTATGGCGTCAGAAACCGAAAACGGGCAAAACTGGGCTCCATTTTCCCATCGGAACTTTTTAGAAAACCACTTATAACTTTTGATTAAGTTATCGGATCAGGCTGAAACTGCGGCATCTGGTTGCAGAGCCTTTTATACTGAGAGAGTTTGGCCTTCTTAAGGAGATTTTGACAGTCTGACAACCACAGCAGCGTAGTCTGACAACCGGGGGATGACTACTTCCGTCCGCCATATTGTGGCTCTGACTCATAGGAACTCTACGCGATTTCTCAGGAACGAACAAGACAAAGAAGTAACGCCATATTGTGTTATCGCGAAATCCGCTTGTTCTATTTCATATAGATATTTCAGCTGGTTCTACATTTGTACAAACTGTTTATATGTGCGTTCGTCATTCATTAAAACATGATGTATAATGCGGAGAAAATCTTGGAATGTGGCCATTTTAGAAGCGGGCCGAATCTGTGTTTAGCAGATATAAAAAAATCACAATAAAATTGAATACATGAAATTCTTTTATAAATATTTGCCACACGCGGACCATTCACCTCCAAGGTGCCCCCTAGAACCACGACCAGGGTGGCTAATAAATTAAGAAGGCGTCCTTGCACTCACTATTAAAAGCGAGGACGTCTACCACGCGCTTGGCCCTTTTTGTTAGAGCCCCTATCACCAACCAAGTTCAAGCAGTTCAACACACCTTTAACGCAGCTGGGATCTCGTGGGCCTTGAGGTTCTGCGCCCGGGCTTCCCACCTGCAACCGGATGAACGCTCGTCACTCTGGGTCCTTCTGAGGCCAAGACTCCGGAAACTATGATGCATAGAACGTATCACCGACTGGCGTGTTTACTCCGTCCTCAAAAGCGGTCCCTCGACTTCCGCCTGAATACGTCACAGAAGGGTCATGCCGTTGCTTTTCGCCATCCTGGCGGTGGAATAGTAGCAGAGGTGTATGAGGCAGACGCTTGTTCTGCTGCAGGTCACTCTCCAGCTAGACAATCTACTGAAACCGAAGCCGACAGGATGTGGGAGTCCTGGATGATAGTGACCCTTGCGTTCACTCGCCGTGTCATCCCACAGCATGGCATTTTGACTCCCGCGACGCAATTTCTCGCCACTTCTTGACCCCTTCGGTGCACGGGTGGGATAGGATGGTAAACACGCTAGTCGAAGACACGCCACCGTAGTAAAACTCACGGGACAGGGGACGCCACGCACGATGTCCGGGAAGCGCAGCTGGCCCAGAGCCGGGTGAATCCGGTTCCTGCGGATGGCTCTGCAGTAAACAACGATAATTTACGTTGGCAGATATTAGTGTTTTTTTCGGGCGTTATCCGGTGTTGTTTAGACGCGAAGAACCCTCGTGACCGGGTAGAGAGATTGGTAGCGCTGCTGCACGCGAGAGACGACAGTGATGGGGGAGAGTGACAGTGAGGCCAGTTAAATGAACACGTTACTAGGGTCTTGGCAAAGATCCAATGGCCTTGCGTCTTTTGTATAGTTGAAACGCGCGCAGCCTCGGGGTCTTTGAAAACCCGTCGAGACAGCCGCCTGCTCTGCTCTCTCGGCCAATCCGGTATCTCGGTGCGTGGGCGGCAGCCCTCTCCCAGGCAAGCCGCCAGCGTCGAGTGGGAATAGAAGAAGCTTAACACACGCGGCAACAAGAACGGGAATGAAGATTCAATTCGATCACGCAACACACTGTAGAAGACGCCAAATTAACCCAACGAAGCCTGAACAGAAGTACAGAGGGCCTTTTGTTATGACACAGGTTCTTTCGTCCGACACCTATTGCCGTGTGTGAAGAGCTGAGTCAGCAGCGTGCTCGACTCCCACGCCGCTGGCTGGGGTTTGATCCCCGCCAACGCTTGTTTCCTTTATCTTTTGTTTGCATGACTGGATAGTTCCTGGTGACTCGAGAAATATTTTTGTTTGTTCGAGCTCTGAAAGTTCTAGATACCCACGCGGGGCTTACAATAGGAGCTTCGCATGACTGCTTGAGTCAGTGGTCTTTCCGTCGCCGTCGAAGTATCTACGGTCTTTGGTACTTTATGTTTCTCGGCGCAAGTTCACCGCATTGAACGTTTATTTGAAGTGCTATTAATCACGTTTATGTTTTTATTCGTAACAATATCGCGTCACTGAGCCAGACAAGACTAAAGCCTCCAGATTTGCAACTACAGCGCATATTTATCAGCTGAAAGGCCCGACGTTGATTAACGGGCGGGCGCACTTGGAGGACGACGACATATCATCGCCAGAAGAGATAGAATCCTCCAAGGCGGAAGTTAAAGTCCAGCTGCAAAATGAACGCATTTACAACTGCACAGTTTTGGCCTATATATTTCTTTTTGTGTGTGCATGTTGCAAGTTGCAAGCCGTGCATTCGAGCTTTATTTTCGTATTAATGTAGGTGTATCCCCGAAGCTTGCAGTATCATAATTTTGTTCGGTCTTCTTTTTGTCGTTAACAAGGACATTAACGGCGTCAGGACGCCCGAGTGTAAGCGAGTGCCCATGTTTTGCCATTTTGCTTTTATTTCTTCAAACGTGCTCCCAAATGTACGAAAGAGCTGACTGAATACGAAGTGGCTGGTTCTCAAGGCTGGTGTTTGAAGAGTCTCAGCCCCAAGAGAATTCCACTAACTGACTTTCCATTGCTCGTGGCCCTGTGGAGGCGCGGCTGACAGGCACAGGGCCGGCATCGGATGACAGCCGAGCAGAGCGAAAGACAATTGGACCGAGCCAAGGAAGCGTCAGTCGGTGTGCGAGACTCGGAGCGTGGTTTGGGGGCTTCATATTACCCCCGGATCTGTAGTTTCTTTATTTCGTTTATATATGCATGACTATTAAACAAGAAAAGTCTTACTCGACCAGCGTGAACTTTTTTAACAACTTAGAAGGAAAATCGCTAAATTAACTTGCGTGTGACAAAAGGCGATACAATGTGCCTCATCGCGTTTTAGCTAACCATGAAGAATGTTAGCATGGGTGACGCAATGAATTTGCGAAAGCGATCCGTTCCGAGGAAACTTTTGTGCATTGTTTTTGTTTTTAGTTTTTTGTTTTAAAATCAAAATTAGGCAGCATCGCCGGTGTAAACGAGGCACACAACGTACGACTGTGAAATTGTCCATTATAAGTAGGACTAGGATCGTTTGAAGTGATGCAGTTAAGGGCCAGAGTCTGCACTCACTTGAGCACGAGGGCGGCTGACCGCGTGTCCAGCAGACGACGTAGTTCATCGAGTTCCAGGTGGAAGACTAGTCTGGGGTCCGGCAGACGGCCTTCCTGCACCATCTTGCGGCCGAGCTTGATCAGGGCCAGTCGGAAGATGTGGACACTTCGAACCGTGAGCGCCTGGGCGTAACGGGAGCACGAACAATCCCCAGGCTTTTACGTTCCGTCCTATGCACTGAAGGTATGATAGCACTTGATTGGGTTTCTATATCGGGAAGTTGGTGTCACGTGACCCGAGGTCACACATTATGCTGTTTTGATATGACGTTAGATGACGTCAGTTAACGTGACATCAATTTCTGTACAAAATTTAGCGAGGGAATCATTAGGTTGCCGCGACACGGTAACTTCTCGTCATTGTGTCGGGTGACGTCACAGTGTCACGCGATGTCACTGCCTTGCGTGACGTGTCAGTGTCACGTGACCATTTCTCCGCTTATTTAACTAAGAAATCGATGTCGCGTAAATTTGGATAGTGTAATGTCAGGTCACGTGACCACGTCACGCGATGTCATGATATCATGTGACAGCACGACCTGAAACTGACCTCTATTTACCCGCCATATTTAACTGGGAAAATGATGTCACTCGACAATGGGACATCCTGCGCTTCGACCAACATGAGAGGGAACGGCCCATGGAGCTCTCCCACAAGAAGCTATCATGTATAAAACGCTATAAGCCAGGACTAGGCCTCACTATCGCGCATTCTTGCTTCGATGTTCGCATCAATGCGCTTTTTTATAGAGCAGTGGCGTACCTAGGGTGTGGCACGGGGGACGGATGCCCCTGCGCCGCATAAGGGGGGGGGGGGGGGGCGGACCGTCGAGTAACTCTGAAGTATCTCCTGAGTTAGGACTAGACTAAGGGCACCGACAGACTTTGTGATTGTGTTCAGTTGAGTGTACAAAAAAGTGATAAAACTGACTGTGACGAGATCGTAGACCAATTCCCTTCAGCGAAATAAATACAAAATGTTTCGTCGAAATGTTTTAAGCAGTGCCATGTTATATTACTTTCTATTTGATATTTCTTCGGTGAATAGTCGAATGCGGCAAATAAAATGCCAGAAAACTAAAGGGAACGTTTCTGCTGTTGCTCTCTCAATAGTATTTTCTAAGCGTCTTCGTGATTTATGAAGCTGTTATCAAAGCTGCTTGGTTTTTCTGTTCTGTGCGGTTCAGAGTTCCTTGCAACTAATCAATTGTATAAAAATCTTTTTTTTTCCATTGCCGCAAAATATGATTTTGCAGGAGCTTATCTTTGTTTGATATTCTTCTTTGGTTTGTGTGCACTACGATGCATGCAATGGAATGAATGCGCTGTGACAATGTCAGCTCACTTTGGTTAGAGGGCGAGATTTCACGTGCGATCGTCATCATCACGGACTCGAATAAACTATCTCCTCTCAGCCCTATCAGCCCTAGGTACGCTATACTGTTATCCAGTCAACACATCGTAGATGACTCGGGTACAAATTTGTGTGGGAAATTCGACAAAGCTAAGTGCACCCTGCCGCAATTTAAGCGCTGTCAAAGCTGAGCACCCCGGCCGCACTCGTTTTCTAAATTCCCTCGCAAGGTTTTCCCCGAGTATAAACCATTCCGCTAGGGAGTAGGAAGAAAAGAAAATGTCCTCTTTCTTCTCTCCCCGGCGCGTCGTCTGCTCCGTAGACTGGCAGTATGGAACAGGCTGACTGAGGTGCAAGCACGGTTTGAAATTGCGTAATTTCGAAGAGGTGCAAATACGCAAATTTAGATGCGCAAGTTGGCGTCCAATGCTATACCCGATAAAAACGTTAAGTGGATTCAATCACATCAAATCAAATCAAGGTTTATTTGCTGTCACATTTCCTTAGGTGACAACAGGGAAGTTAGGATAAAAAGCTGCTGGGTAGCAGCTTGACGAAGGTCCCAGCCCCCGTACAGTTCAAAACAGCAAAAAGGTAAATAAAAAAAATAAAAAAATGAGGGCCGTTTACAACTCCCTGTAACGCCGAATTGGAGCGCCGCTCTTGAGGAGGAGAATGGAAGGGCACTGAGGGGAGGGTATATTCCTCCTCTCTCCTCCTCCCTCGTTATCCTGCCTGCTACTCCTGAACGAAAGGGCTCCGGTTCGAAGCCGGCCGAAGGACAAGAGATAAGAGTCTTTTAAAATCATTTTTCGGAGTAATGAAAATTCGGATTCGTCCCCCTTGCTCATCCTCTCTGCTCCCCTCCTTTCTCCTCCTCCCCTCTCGGGGGTCGCGTGATCTCGGGGGGGGGGGGGGGGGGTGTCACGTGACCCCCGAACCTTGGGGGGGGGGGGGGGGGGGTTTACGTGACCTGGGAGTGGCGCGTGACCTGGGGGGAGTCACGTGACCTGGGGGGTCACGTGACCTGGGTGTGCACGTGACCTGGGAGGTTCACGTGACCTGGAAGGGTCACGTGACCTCACGGTTACGCCGACGGTGACGTCGGTCAAACCGGAAACGGGCGCATAAGAGCTGCGGTCTAAAAACTATTACATAAATGTAGACACATTTTATACAAATGTTTGGTGAAATGGACATTTTAGGCAAAAAACACAATACCCGACAATAAACCACGAGAGCGGTCAGCAAAATACATAAAGAAAGCACAAAGGTTAAGAAGCAACGCCAGTATTCAAAAACTTACAGAGAAAAAAATATAATTTACTTACCCTTTATGTGAAAGTTCCTCTAAATTTATAGTCTTTTCGTAGAGAGTGTTTAGCATGGCGGACAAAATAAAATGAAGCGTCTGATCAAGGTAATTCGTGCGGGATGGACGGATTACCCAGGGCTGATTTTGCCTAACGTCGCGCAGGATGACGCGATGTTTTAGGCTAGCTAAGTGAATGGAATGAACGTTGTTTTGCTGAACAGCCCTACGATACGTTGTTAAAAGTTTAAACGCATATATTTGCTGAATTGTTTTTACGTTTAGGGCCTTAAATAATGATGCAGTGGGATGGAGAGAGGGAACAGAAGACATTGGTACCTACAGCCCTTTTTTTTAAAAGGTGCAACTTTGTCAGCTTTGTTTTGGTTGTGGTGCCCCAAATAAGGTTGCAGTAATTTAAATGGGAACAAACAAAATATGAATAGATTGTGAATTTAATATGAGTAGAAAGGATTGTTTTAAACTTTGTTATCAGGCCAACGCTCTGGATAGCTTTGCTTAGACGTAATCTATATGAGCATTCCAGGTCATGTCTTGTGAAAACAACACACCTAATATTTTAATAGAGTTTACAAATTCAATTTGTTCATCATTGATTTTAAGGCAAAGTGGATCGTTTACACTTTTATTCCTAGGTTTAAACAAAATGGCATTGGTCTTACTACAGTTCAATTTGTTGTTTAGTGTCCAGGCAGTAATTTGTTTTAACACTTCTTGCATTGCAGAAATGGAAGGGCGGATATTGTCATGAGAAGAAAAAATGCTGGCATCGTCCGCATAAATTACCAGTTTTACATCAATGCTTTGAGCCACTTTTGCGATATCGTTAATGTACAGAATAAATAATATTGGGCTTAAAATGGTGCCCTGGGGAACTCCCGATGTTATGGCTAGCCTGTCTGAATGAAAATTTGAAAAAAAAACGCGTACTGATTTCTGTTTAATAAGTAGGATCTTAAAATATCATGCGCTATGCCCCTTATTCCATTAAAGGGTAATTTGGCAAGTAAAATGTCATGATTGATTGAATCAAATGCTTTTGTGCAATCGAGGAAAACACCCAATGTTATCTTTTTTGCATCGAATGCTTCTACGATTAGTTCTTTTTGATTCAGCAATGCTATTTCAGTTGATCGATGCTTACGAAATCTAAATTGTGATTCAGATATTCAGGAATGTTTATCAAGATGTGTTAGGAATCTTTGATGTAGAAGTTTCTCTACTGGTTTGGAAAAGACAGGAAGAATTGAAACGGGTCTATAATTGCTTATGTCAAACATATCACCGCCTTTATGTAGCACAAACACTTTTGATACCTGCAGTTTATGTGGGAAAAATCGGGTTTCAAGTGCAATATTATATATATATATATGTCAGATACCGTACAGTTTTATCAATAACGTATTTTATAGATTTTTTCTGCATGTTATCGGCATCAATGCTTTTACTATTTTTAAGATTCATGATTGTTGAGCGTCTGCTCAACAATCATGGGGAACTTATCAGTGGGGAACGAAAAAATTGTATTCGTCTGCAACAATTTCATGAACTCTAGGGCCTATTTTATACAGGGGAGGACACACATGTTGACGTACCAACATTTACAACTTAATTATTAAACGCGTTTGCCATGATGACGTCAGTTATTTGAGCGCCTCTTACGGTTACTTCATGAGGTACGTTTTGGGGTGGCTTATGGTTTAATATCGGATTCTCTTCGATATAATATGAGCTTTCAATGTTTCTAATGGATCAAAAAGTCTGTTGCGATAGTCACGCTTAGCAGTCCTTGGCTGACTCTTTAGTTTATTTAGATTAGATTTAAAGGCTAAAAGTCTACTATTTTTTTATTTAAAAAATGCTGATATAAAAGATTCTTTTTTTTTTCGTATCATTGATAGCAGGCTACGCGTGATCCAAGGTCTACGCGATTTTTTAGAGGCTTTGATGTTGACAAAAGAAAAATGTTTCGAATATATTGTATCAAATATGTCTAAGAATAAATTATATGTGGAATCAACTGAATTTGTAGAAAAAATTTGTTGCCAAGATGTATATTCAATTTCTTCTTGAAAACGGCGCAAATGGTCAGGGGAGATCGGCTAAACTCTAGTCACAGGAACGCAGTCGCTACGGTTTTCGTGGGAGCGTTTATTTTGCAAGCAAAAATAAATGGGAAGATATCACTTATATCAGTTGAAAGAACCCCCTATGTCACCACCGAGTCTTCGTAGTTCGTTATGAACAAATGAAGCAAACAGGTTGACGTGTTAGTTATTCTTGTATGGTGCTTTATAACACTTGATGTTATACAGCACCCTATGTTATAAAGTTATAAAGCACACGACTCAATGAGGTTTGAAAAATAATTTCTCGAGCTTCAGTCAGGGCTTATATCGATATTGAAATACCACCGAAAACTAACCTGAAATATTT